TGTATAAACATGCATGTGGAGACCAGTAGACAACCTTGGTTCTTATCCTCAGGAACACTGCCCATGTCCTTTGAGACAGGTCTCTCATTGACCTGGGGCTCATCAAATTGGTTAGACTGTCTGGCCAGAGGCTGTGGGATCCTGCTGTCTTTGCCTCCAGCTCAGGGATTACAAGTACACCCACCACGTCTGCCATTTTGACATCTATTCTGGGGATCAAGCTCAGACCCTCATGATGGCAAGGCAAGAACTTCACTGACTGAGCCATTTCCCCAGCCCCAGTGTAACTACTGGAATATAGTTTATTGTATGTTTTGGAATATGTATGTTTGATTGTTTTTTTACATAGTATGGTTCAGAAAATTTTTGGGTGGATTCTTCCTTCTTCCCATTATTTCCTCAGTAAGCAACATGTCTAAGACACATATGTGTTGCTATGTTTAAGAACAATCCATCCTGCCTAGTTATGGGTTATCTGTTTGGTTTGCACATCTTTGGATTGTTTGGTTATTTGTGAGGTTATAGAGTATGTCATCATCTTTTTATGAACCATATCACATACTTGTGCATTTTCAAAATCCCTGGAGAGCAGACATTTTCATTTGGGGGTTTGGAGTCCTTGGTTGGCAAAGGGAAGCAGGCAGAAGCCTAGCCTGCTAAGGAACGTAACATTGGAGTTGAAGGATCAGATATGATGACTTCTCAGATGTCCCTTTAAAGCCTGTGTGATGTTTAGCTTCTAGGCAATGAGGTTGGCCTCTTGTGGGACTGTGGACGGAGGGGTGCTAGTGGGTGGACAGGACCTTCTAGATGCCTGAGCATCACCGTACTATTGCTAGTGGCTTCCCAAAGAGCTTTTGTTGCTTGGTGCAGATTGTAAGGGAAGTGTGGAGCATGAAGTGTCTGGGAAGGGGTGGATCCCCATTGTACAGCCACTGACATACACCTCAAGGCTCCGTTTTTCTCCCCCCTTCAAACTGAGTCTACCTTTCCAGGAGGAGTCTTCCACGTCTTTGGTGCACTTTAATTTTCTCCCTTGAAAATTGCTTTGCCTTTGGCAAGAGGGGAGACACAGTCTCCCAGGTCTCCTTGCAACCACTCGGGAGATCACATTCAGTGGTTTGCTTCTCTGAACTTGTCTCATTTGTGTCCCTGAGTATTTGGCACAGCAAACAGTATTCTCATCATATGGGATAGAAAGCCAAGGAACCATGAACTTGACTTTAAAGTAGAAGCATAATTTCATCCAGTAAGAGCCTTATCTAGGGCTGGGATGTAGCTCAGCTGATAACCCCGAGGACCTCTAGTCCCGTAGAAATGAACTGTGGTAGTGCTTGGCATCTGTAGGCCAAGAACTTGGGAGACAGAATCGAGAACCAGACGTTCAAGGTCATCCTTGGCTGCATAGGCTGCTCACGTCCACTCTGAGCTAGAGTTATGTCTTAAAAGAAGAAATAGAAGGAAAGTTAGTGGAAAGAGGGCATCTTGTTTATATATAATCACTGGGGTGTGTGTGGGGTGGCTTAGTGGGTGAGGATTGCTCATTACACAAACACGAGGATTGGAGTTTAAATTCCTAGCATCCATGTACAAAGCCAGGCATGACTCTGCATGGGCTTATATCTCTAGAGCTGTTGAGAAAATGGGAGGATTACTGGAACTTCCTGGCCATTAACCTAGTCCCAAGTTCAGTGAGAAACCCGGTATTAAACTGATAGGGTAGAGTGATAGAACAGGATACGCAATGTCCTCTGGTCTCCGTGAGTACACACAGGGACACACACACACACTCACACACTAGCTCCTGACAGTAATCCTCGGCAAGCACTTCCCAGTCTTTGTGAGATGGAGCGAAAGGTCCTCTTGTCCTAAAATGGATAAAAGACAGTACAGAAGAACTAAGTTGGTGTTTGGCACTCCTGCTGTGGCTGAGGCTGGTTCTGGTGCTGTGTAGTTGTCAGAGTATTCTGGTAGCCTGGAATTGGGACCTGGCTTCCCTAGTGATCTAAGATGTTTCCCCAAACTGGTATTCCAGCCTGCAGAGGGGGTGGAGAGCCCAGCCAAGGCGGTGTCTCTTCCCTGCTGGGACACTGATTCCTGAGCTGGAGTCTGTGAGCACCAGACCCCCTGCCTACACCCAGCAAAGGCTTTCTAGAGAGCAGCTGCCTGCAGGGAGGACTTGAGCTCTGGAGGAGCACTGCATTTTATTCTTTTTTTTTTTTTTTTTTTTTTTTTTTTGAGACAGGGTTGCATATTATTCTTTAAGAAGCATAGGTTTTTAAAGTTTTCTAAAATCTTCTACTTCTATATTATCAAGTGCAAAAGAAGGGTGTTTGTTTGTTTGTTCTCAGAGTAGGGTTTCAGTATAAAGCTGGCAAAGGAAAGGCCTTCCCTTCTTTTCATTTTTGAAATGAATTGTTTGATGAGTCAACGCATGCCTAGCTATGCCTCAGAAAAGTCAGGGCCCTTCCCAAATAAATGATATAATGAGAGGGAGATGAGAAGGCGGCTTTGCCTCTTGCTCATTTTCAAATATCCATTATCGCGATATTCACAACGTACAGTACAAACCCTCGATGACCTGGGGTGTGTCACCAAGCAACACGATGCTGAGAAGTCAGTGAGTGAGTGACCCGTTGCTTTCCCTAAGACTCCCAGTGGAGCAGGAGCCACTTGTAAACTAAGTGCAAGAAGAGATAACTGGCAGGCACGCATGCTCCGTGTTGGAAATTAGACATCAGATGTAAGCCCAGCAGGCACGTGTCATCCAAAGTTGACAGGTCAGGGCAGCCTGTCCTGAAATAGAGTCTCCTCTGGCGTTATGCCTGCACCGGAACTGCTGCTGGAGGAAAGAGCAGGGACCACTATTGAATTTGCTAATAGTTATCAGTGTATTCATCATCGAAAACACATCTGGGTTTTAGCATTTAAAAAATGAATTTTATACCCTTAAGGTTGGCACCCTGTGGGTGGCTGGTTCTATGCAGAATGTGGCCAATGACATAATTGTCCTGTAATGAATCAAAATCTGTGTATATTCATTTAGCACACATTGGTATTATGATATAGTGTCAGAGTCTCACTGTAAGTATGCTGAGAATTCCTGAATGACCTTTATAAAGTATAAACAAGAGAGTTAAATATAAATGCATTCAACTCAAGAGATATCCGTGAGACACCAACTGCGTGCTCAGACACAGTCAACAGAGTAAAAATGGGCTCTGCCTTTATGAAGCTTACACCATCAGACAGGACTAGATAATAACAGCAAAGACTTGGCTCATCTCTCTTTCCTGTGTCACCAGCCTAATCCTCTGTATTTGTTCACCTGGACCTTGAGTACACTCAATAGTGGTCACCTCGCTTACCTGTATGACCTCACCCACTTTTTCCATGGCAACCATAGGAGGTTCGAAACTTTAAATTAGATCTTGCACTACTTTTGCACGATTTCTTTCGTGACCTCAGGATTCAATTAGGATAAAAATCCCAAGCTGTCCAATGATGTCCAAGGCCGAGAGTTGTACTACCGTGCTCTGTAGAGACCCAGCAGCTCCAAACACAAGTGCTGTCCCAGTTCCCCACACCCTATGCTCCACCTCCAAAAGATGTGCCTTGGGCTGCTCTCTGGTGCTCCCCATAGATAGATACTCCTCCTTCAGCTCCACTGAAGTTGGTCCTACCACCCCCACCACTGTTACTCTGTTGCAGTCTTCCTGGCAGTTAACACAATTCGTAATTATCTTTAAATCCACCAGAGAGAAAAATTGTCTGAAATTAAGACTTTGTTGTGCAATTTAGAACTGAGAGAGGGGGATTGGATTCTGAAGTTTGCAATGTAGGTGTCTTTTCTTCTGCTCCCAAACAAATACTTAATTAAATTGCTAAGGTATGATTACCCAATCACTTGTAGGCAGCAAATGCATTCATTTTCTCCGCCAATTTGGTTGATCAGAATCAATGCCTCTGGAAGATAGATTGTTCTCCGTTGTGAAGGAAATGCTTTAAAATTAAGATGTGTTAGCCAAATTACAGCAGGGTTCTCAAAACAGGCAACTAGCCAATGGCAGGACGTTCCATTGTTAATTGTACACCTGTCTTTGCAGAAGTGCTAATGTAAAGGAGAGGCACACATAATTATAAACCAGCAAATGCTGGAAGAGAAAGAAAAATGAAATATTAAGAGGACAACTCTAGTCTAGGAATAGCCTGCACTTAGACCCAGAAAGAGGGAGAAGTGTGAAGGCCTTGGGAGTCCTGGGGATACGTGTGTGGGGAAGTGTTGTGGGGAGAAGAGACTAGACATGGGAGGGAAGACGGAGGAGTGTTGGGGAGGGATGGGGAGAAGGAAGGAGGACGAGAAGGAGAAATATCAGATAGCACTAGGTCTCTGTATGGTTCACTGGCCAATGACATTCCTCTTTAGCTCATCCTTAAGAAGCTGGCAGAGGTGGGTGGGGATTCCTGTGCCTGTGCACTCTGTAGTGTGGTTATGGATGGCAGGACAAGGGGATGAAGGCCATGGCATTTCATTAGACAGCCCGTCTTTGTCCAGAAAATCGTGGTTCCTTCCTGCGACTCCCATTCCTCTAAAGCCATCAATTTCCTGTTCCAGATCCCTTAGCCATAGCTTACTGCAGCTGTGCTTCTGACCCTCAGAGATAGTCTTGTGTTCTCTTTCTCTTCCCTCCCTCCCTCCCTCCCTCCCTTCCTCCCTCCCTCCCTCCCTCCCTCCCTCTGTCTCTCTCCCACTCCCTCTTTCTCCTCCCCTCTCTCTTCTCTCTCTCTTGTCTTTCCTCCCTCCCTCCCTCCCTTCCTCCCTCCCNCCCCCCCCCCCCCCCCCCCCCCCGTGTACATTTCTCTTGGGTCAATTCTGTATATAGCCTTTCAGGAGACAAGGAGCCAACCTATATCTTTCTGTAAATTCTAAACCTTGGAATGCAAAAGTGGATAGTCTCTTCTGTGACAGGCTGGTCACTGACTTTGGTGCTTGTCTGCAGTCTGTCACAAGTCCTGTGCAGCTTGCTGGGGTCCCACGGAGAAGCACTGTGTGGCCTGCAGAGACCCACTGCACGTGCTGAGAGACGGCAGCTGTGAGAGAACCTGTGGGGGCGGCTTCTACAACAAGCAGGGGACCTGTCTAGGTAAGTGCCAGGCGGGGATGCCAAAGCAGCCGCTCCTTGACTTTTCAACATCCCTTATACTCAAATCATATCATTGATAATGAACGTACCTTTTGCTCAATGAATATGTGCATGTCTGCTCACATTCACTTTCCCTTGTCATTTGTATTTTTGTTTTAAACAAGTGGGACCTCCTTTAACTACCCTGATGACTTCTTAGACTTGAGGTATTCATTCTATCCTGCTCCAGGATAGACACACAACTTTGTGGAGAGAGGAATGGCATCCCCATTGGGACATTTCCCTAAATCTCAAACATGGTTCATACCAGGCCACTTCCCTAATTAAGTGAAGCAGAAACCCATGCCAGTGTGGACTGACCCGCCTTTGTTTTGGGATCACTGACTTAAAGTTGATGGATCGCTGTCTAGTATTCTTCCGAGTCATGTGATGACAGCCAGCCCAGTACATCCCTTGTGTGCCAGGCATGGAGACCAGCCACCAAGAGCTGTGGAAGTGCGGCAGAAGCGCAGATTCAGGCACAACTCACCCCATCAGCCTGCCAGTTTCCTATTTGTAAAATGGGGATAAATCTAACTCCTGCGGTAGACAGAATAACGACCCCAAAGTTGTCATGGTTTAAAGCTAATAACCTGTGAGCTCATCACTGAGTGGGTAGCTGGACCTTTGCAGGGATGAGTAAGAGAAGCATCTAGAGACAGGGACAATGTCCTGGAGTATCAGGTGTATCTGTGTGATAATGAGGGAGCAGGCCAGAGTTGGAAAAGACGTGAGGATGGATGCAGAGATGGAGATGATAGAAGGGAAAGGAAGGACCTCCTCGCACGAGCATGCCGGATATAGGAAAAGTCAAGGGAGTGTATTCTCTAGGGTTCTAAGAAATGCAGTTGAGAACACCTTGATTTTTAGAACTTCTAACCTCTTACACTGTAAGACAGTAGATTTGTGTTGTACCAGAGTTAATGGTAATTCACAATAACAGGCACTGAGTCACACCCAGCTAGGAAGGCCAGAATAACTGCCACCAGGGCTCAATGTTTCATTGCACCCGTGACTTCACTAGATAGAGACCATCATTCTCATGGTTCTGATGAAGAAGAAAAGAGAGTAAGAAATAAACATACTTTGGGTCTCATAGCTAAAGGGGGCCAGAATGAGAGTCGGGTGTAGTCTTCAGGTTGCTTTGGGAAACAGGACCATTCCTAAAGTCAGGTGACATAAATGTCAAGGCTCTGATGATGCTGTGAAAAATGTAACCTGCAGTTTTCCTTACTCATGGTCCCCAAGTTCAGTGCCATTAGCATCACCTGCTGCAAAGCATGTGGTGTGGGCAGAAGACACCAGCCATGATCTATCTTTGTGCCTAGAAGCCTTCAGACATTCTTCAAAATTCAAACTTCATGCAGATGTAGTACTGCCTTCCCCCAAGTGCTCAGAAGGGTTTTTTTTTTTTTGGTTGGTTTGTTTTCATTTAACTTAACTTTTGGTTTTTAAAGACAGAGTCTCGAAATGTCACTGGCTGACGCGTAGTCCGTTCTGTAGATCAGGCTATCTTTTGGAATTGCAGCAATTCTGATGGTCAATCCTGTGTAGCATTAGCCACTGCCCTGGCCTCTGATTTTAATCCTTCCAGTCTACAAGGAACACAGGCTTCCTACACTGAACCCCTGAGCCAAAGTTAATGCCCACTCTCCATCTCCCAGGCTTGCACCCTCTCCTCCTTTACATGCATGCCACAAGCAGAAGACACCATCTAGTCTCAGTGGCAGACAGTGGCCCTGCTCCTCTGTCAGTGGCCATAAGCACCCTCCCTGAGGACTTAAAGTGTAAATGCCTTTAGGCCTTAGGATTAGCATGAATTTGACATCTGTCCACCTTTAGAGAATACACTGGGCTTAACTGAACAGGAAAGTGATGATGGCAGAAAGATTAACATACTGAGGCCAGTGGCAGCCTGGCCTCTCTCTCTCTGCCCTCACATGGAGTAACACCAGATGAGAGCTTGCACTCCAGGAGAGCTGGGGACCCCCCAAAGCCTTAAGGAAACAGCTGCCAGGGTCCTCTGTCTTCCCTATACAAGTGGAGTCCTTAGACTCCGAAAGCAGCTCATTGCTGCTCTTGTCCAGTTAACAGGAGAGCAAGTCAGAACAACTAGGGGCTGCACACTCTTAGTGATTGGCAGGAACCTATCATAGCCAGCATAGTCGTCAGTAGGTACAATAGTCATTCAGCTCAGCTCAAACCTTTCATCCACGGTCAGGACACTGCTACCTATGGATTTTAGCAATGCCCCTAGAGTTGGCTAGTTTATCTGAAGACAAAGGAAGGGAGAGAGAAACAAAGGAGCATCAAGAGAAGGAGGGGAAGGGGAAGGAGGCAGAGGTGGATGAGGTAGTATATATTACAGTGATCTACAGAATGTGTCAGCCAATGGCATTTTGAGATTTTGTCTTTAAAAACCAAAAGTTAAATTAAGTTAAATAAAAAACAAACCAACAACAACAACAAAAAACCTTCTGAGCACTTGGGGGAAGGCAGTACTACATCTGCATGAAGTTTGAATTTTGAAGAATGTCTGAAGGTTTCTAGGCACAAAGATGGACCATGGCTGGTGTCAGCCCAACAATGATCAGTCATTTCTGCCCACCTCACATGCTTTGCAGCAGGTGATGCTGATGGCACTGAACTTGGGGACCTTGAGTAAGGAAAACTGCAGGTTACATTTTCACAACAGCATTGGAGCCTTGACGTTTTTGTCACCTGACTTTAGGAATGGTCCTATTTTCCAAAGCAACAAGGAACCAACCGATGGGTATCTGAATGTTAATTAAGACTTTAGATGCCAATAATGGTGGCTATTTCCATTTCAGATTAGTGATATTGAAGATAGGGACTGGCTGGTGTTGGTTTAAGTATTCACAACTAGCTGGCCTGTGTCTGTAGAGATCACAAAGCCAGGTGTTGTGGACATCCGCTATAGCCTGTTATAAGCCGCAGCATGTTCCACCGGAAGGAGCCGGCTATTGCCATGCCAGTCTGGGGCCCGTGTCTTGGACTTTACGAGTATTAAATATAAAGAGTGGGACACTTCCAGGGGAAACCTCACCAATCTTTTTGGTACTCAGACTCTTTCTTATCAAGGACTGGTATAACCCTAGCTAACTAATATAATTAATAGGTCAAATCCACAGGTTTCTGATAGCCATTCCCATGTCCTCCTCCTCCTCCTTCTTCTCTCTCTTTTTCTCCTCCCTCCCTCTCCCCTCCACCCTCTCCTTGTCTCACTCTTTTCTTTCCTCACCCATGTAACTACTTGAACTCCTAATATTTAATTTAATTTTTCACTTTATGTATGTGAGTTTTAGGCTTGCCTCTATGTGTGTGCATCACCTTTGTACCTGGTGCTCATGGAGATCAGAAAAGGGCACTGGATCCCTAGGAGCTGGAGTTAAAGCTGGGAGCCCAACCGAGGTCCTCTGGAAGAGTAGCAAGTGCTCTTAACTCCTGACCTATCTCTCCATCCTCTAGAGATTTTTAAAGTTGCTGTTGTTCTTAGGAGCTTTTCTAAACAGGGTTTTTTATTTTGGGTGCACACATATTTTATGCCACAGTCCTGCCCCTTGATGGACTTATCTGGACTTCTCCTTGGGACTTGGGCCAGGAGCAGCATTGCTGGTTTATTGATTCTACCTGGGCTTTATTTGATAAACCAGTGCCAGGCTGCTCTCCCTTAGCTGTGCAATCTCCATTCCCAAGGATGGTGGTGGTTCTGTCATCTGTATATGGTGCCCTCACTGGGTACTATCAACCTCCTGAGTTTTTCTGATTATTAGGTATAAAGGGACATTGACTTTCCTCTGTATAAATCTTCTTTTTAATTTTCTTTTACCCATTTTGCCTTCTGTGTCCTTCCTTATATTTTATTTCTATTCTCTTTAACTTTTTTTTTTGTGCTGGGGATTGAGCACAAAACTTTTTTTTTTGGGCTAAGCCTTGAGCATGGTAAGCAAGCATTACCACTCTGCTACCTCTTGACCATCTCGTTTTAAATATGTACCTATCTCCCATTCCCTTTTCTTTTAACTTTGAACATATAATGTCCTTTATTGAGCAATTTTTCTTTTATTTCTATTGATTTAAGTTTTTTACAATTTCTTTTACTATTTCAGACACGTGTAAAGCACATTGTCACAGTGACAATTAATTCATCTTTGTTATTACTCGCTGCTTAAGAGCTTTGCTGCTGAATTTTTAAGAAGATATGCCATCACCAATCACAAACTAATTTCTCTGCATTTTCTTCCATTAATTCAGCAACGTAAATTTAAGCTTCTGACCCCCTGAGATCTCATTTATGTTTGTGACTTGTGAAGTCACACAGTTTGGTTTTTTCTAAGTTTTGCTGTTCAGTTTCCCCGACATGACAAGCAGCTCAGTCTTGCCCTTCCTTTTGATGTCTGCTGTATATCAAAGATCCACATGTGCATCTCTTAGTGCCAGCTGGTCTACACTCCGCATCTCTGCCCCAGTGTCAACTTCACACTTTTTTTTTTAATATTTATTTATTTATTATGTATATAATATTCTGTCTGTGTGCATGTCTGCAGCCAGAAGAGGGCACCAGACCTCTTTACAGATGGTTGTGAGCCACCATGTGGTTGCCGGGAATTGAACTCAGGACCTTTGGAAGAGCAGGCAATGCTCTTAACCATTGAGCCATCTCTCCAGCCCCAACTTCACACTCTTTGATTGACTGACTTCTACTGCCTGGTAGTTCATAAAGTTGATTGGGGATCCCTCCCCCACAACTCCTCTTCAAAGTTAACTTAGACATTAGACTACATGTATTAAAAAAAAATTCAACTAGAATTCTTATTGCTGTTATACTGAAGTGACAGGCTAATTTGGAATGAAAAGACATCTTGCAAATGCTTGTATTTAAATTTATGTTTTCCTTTAATGATTCGTTTAGCACTGTCTTAAAATGTTCGATACATAATATTATTAGTCAATTCTTAATTTTGACAAATTTCTTCAGGTCTTCATTTCTAGGAAATTTTATTTAGCTTCTAGAAAATATGATTATGTTATGATAATTGTTCTATATTCAGGACTTCCTGAGTTTTATGGGGATTGAGAGTGAAGGAGGCTTCTCAGACTCCAGTTTGGTTTTATGTGAATTGAGGGTGATGCTCTTATTCTTTGAGGCCATTGCCATGGCCCAGTCTTGATTTCTCTTGCTCATTTGGGTTTAGGCAGATGGGCAGCTCTCCACCCCAGTGGATAGAATATAAAGTCTGATGACCTAGAACCTTTTGTCTTACATCCTTGAAACGCTTCAGGGTGAAGCTGTCCAAAGGGAGCTGACCACATAAGTCCCAATGGTTCTTGGTTCCTGGATGCTGATTCTTCTTAGTCTGACCAAGAGCTGTGTTTATCTTCAGGCAGTGAGCCCAGGCTGGGGAGCCATTCAAAACTGCATCTCCTTGACCTCCGTCCTCTGCTCTACAGGTCCAGGCTCTGAGCCCCTTTTCAGGCCAGGCTGTGCATGCATACTTTTGAATGTACACCCCCTCTTTGTATCTAGACATTCTTTTATCAATCATTCAAACTTCTCTTTCAAGAATGTCTTTCTGGGTCTATATGTGCAGCCTCCACCCCTTTTCATTATTGCTCTCCCTGTCCCTTTCATTCACAGCCCTGGGCCTGTAGCAAACAATTCATCATCGTAGCCTTCAATTCCTGCCCCTGGAGCCCACTGGAATATGTGGCACAGGTCACCTAGAGCCCAATTTCCAAGTGTAGGGGAACCTTTAAGACCTTATTTGTCCTCTGTGTTAGCAATGGTCTCTTGAACCCTTTTCTTCTTAGTCTCTTTTGTTTTGTTTTGTTTGCCATTGAACCATTTATTTTTGGTCACTTTGATTATATTTTTTTTGCTTTTGTTTGTTTGTTTGCTTGCTTGCTTGTTACACTATCCATAGATCCTTCCCTCGTTCTGTGTTATCCTGCATGATGTTCTTGAATAAATTAACTCGGGTCTGGTTTTTAAAAACTAGTTTTATATATAATGAGCAATGAGTTGCTCTTTTGAGTACCAGAACTACAAACCAAGCTGGACCACATACATTTCAAACTGGACTCATCACTTTCTCCTCCGCATTACCATCCTTGCATTCTTTGATGGCTGAGGGGCATCCCTTTGTCCCTCAAGACAGACTCTTGGAACTCATCTGAGACACTTTCCTTTTCATTCCTCTCAAATCTGTCCCCCCTTGCATAAACTTGATATAACCCCATCTTGCTCCAAGGGCATGGCCATGATCTTCCAAGTGGACCCCAGTTCATTTTAACCCTTCAAACTGGTTTTCAAACTGAAGCCAAAGGGATCTTTCTTATCTCTAAGTCTGGTCATTTTTCCACTGTGCTTAAAACTGCAGGGCCTCTCAGTACCTATCATAGGGTGAGGCTAAGGAGTGCCCGGTTGAATCTGAATTTCAAGCAACTCTCAGGTAGCCATGCCTTCTGGAGCATAAGAATCTAAGCGTCAGTGCGGCTACAGGCTCCCTCTATCTAGGGCTGCCCTATGTCATGGAATTGCTGCTTCCTGGACAGCATATCGTTCCACGTCTTGAGCCAGGACTGCTTTTTCAGTTTGGCAGATATTCCTATCAGTCCTACCTGGTCTGACTAAATTTCTAAGACAAGGTTGATTGGTTGATTGATGGGTAACTTCTTCTTTAGGTTCCTTCTGGACTTCTCTTCCCTCCTCTTTCACACACTTTTTGAATGGTGTGTTTGATATCTGTGTTTACTTTCCTTAGATTATACTAATATGCCATTTGGACTAGAGCCTGAGTTAATTTAATTTCTGTATCTCTACCACATAGTAAACACCCCATGCAGGCCTCTGTCAGTATTCTGAGGGTAGATCAATGCGTGCATACATGTGTAGGTCTTGGAAGTCTGTAAAAAGTTCATCAATTTCAGTATGTTTTTACCCAGCACGGTCTGAGTGGCATTCTGAACTGCTGAAGTATTGCTTTAAGTAGGTGAAATTGAGGCTATTTGGTCATTAGTTACACAAAATCTACTTTTTAAAAAATTCTTTATAAGCTTAAACTTAACTGAAATTTGGTATTTTTATTTGCTAAGTCTGTCAGTCCTGCTACTGAAGCCATTTCAGCTTTAAATCCCATATGGAATCGGATGCGCTGGCGGCTATGCCTTGGAGTATTTGTGGCGCTTTGTTCGGTGACTAATTCCTCCATTATCCTTCTACGGCAGAAAGGAAAGCACAGAGCCTTTACCGTTTGGAATCAAGGGCACGGAGCTCTTCTGAACAGCCAGGAAATGAAACTGAGAGACACTGGTGCCAATCTTGGGCATTGTGAAGAGAGAGGGTCACTGCTGTGTTGCTCACTGTCACCCCCCCTCTGGTGGCTTTTTCCTTCCCATTAGCTTGTGACCAATCCTGTAAGAGCTGTGGCCCCAGTAGTCCCAGATGTCTTACCTGCGCTGAGAAGACAGTGCTGCATGACGGGAAATGCATTTCGGAGTGCCCTGATGGATACTATGCTGATGCTACGGGAAGATGCAAAGGTAGGAGGTGGGACATCATCACCACCATCATCATCGCCACCTCCATCATCATATTGAATGCACACTTGCCAACATTTGGTGCTACCTGCTCCTCATTGGTGACGGGTGTATTCAGGGAACAGGTTACATTAAAGGGGCAGCTTTTTCATAATAGAAGCTATGTGTCTGGTATGGGAGAAGGCAGTATGGGAACAAGAGATTTGAGTGGATTCCATAGGATGGGGTAAGTACGTGGAAGCCATGTGCCGGTCAGTCATCCCCACAGATCACTTGCTCTATTTGAAATGTCCAGAAGACTTTTAAGATGCCTCCCTCATGTGCTTGTGAGCCAGTGCTGACCTGTGTCAGCAGTGGCAAAGCCATCTCCTCCTTATGAGTTATAAACTCATGACCACAACAATTAAGTAAAAAAGGAAACCGAATTTGATAGCCAGTCAAGTCTACCTCCGCTAAAAATGTATTTAATGTGCAGTTTCTTTAATGTTCTTTCATATTGATAAACTCATGAATTACTGCCTTTCAGGACTCTCTTGACTTCAGTTTACAGAAGCTTGACCTTGGTCTTTTCCTCATAGGGACCAAAGAATGCATTCTGCCCCACACAACTTGGTCATCCTTCTTCTGAAACTTACACTGTGTCAGTTCTTACTTCTGCCTCTTTGGTCTTTTACAGCAGGGTATTTGAGCTAGGCCATTGGCTTCTCTTGATCTAACTCCCCTTGTCTGCCAACCTCTTTATGTACCAAAGTTCCTCACTTTTCCTCGGCCCCCAAAGTTCTGGTCCCATCCCCTGACTCCCCCTGCCTGGCTCCTGACCATTATCCTCCAGAACATTTTGCCTGTGTCTCGCTGCTGTCCTGAGAGGTTCTGAAGGCTCAGTCTGGGTTATGCTCTTAGGGTCAACTTAACACAGGGTCAAAGCAGGGTGTGTATGTGTGTGTGTGTGTGTGTGTGTGTGTGTGTGTGTGTGTGAGGGGGGGAGTTCCCTAACATTGTCATACATACTAGTCAGACTCTTTTCTGCAATAATGTAACTCTTAGAAGCATAGACTGCCAAAGCTGGAGGTATGTTCAGTCACCATCTAACCAACCCTCTGGACCAGGACTCAACTAGACTTGCCTGAGAGGATTGTCAGGCCATGAACTGTCCCCTTTTCTTATTGTTCAGACAGGGAGGCTTAGATACCCACAACAACATCCCAACATTGCTCTGAGTGAGCTTTGTGATCTCGGGGAGAGAGAGAGAGGGACAGAAAGAGAGAGACAGACACAGAGACAGAGACAGAGACACAGAGAGAGAGACAGAGAGATACAGAGAGAGGGAGAGAGAGAACACATGATGTGTGTGGAGCTCAGAGGTTAGCCTCAGTTCTGCAGGAACTATATACCTTGATTTTTGATCCAAGTCACTGGTCTGGGAATTTGCTCACCTATTTGGCTTGGCTGCCTAGTGAGCACCAGTGATCTCTCTCATCCACTTCACACTAGAGCCACAAATATTCATTGCCACACCCACTTCCACTTCTTCCCTTGGTTCTCTGGACCTGATGCCTGCACAGCACGTGTTTTACCAGCTGGGTTATCTCCCTAGTCCTTGGGTGAAAACCTTGAGTTAACCTTCCAAGACCTCAGTTTCCCTGACTGTAAGATGTGGTTCGCAATAGCTGCTTCTGAATGTTGCCATAGGACTAGGAATGGCCATTGCGTATAAAGCACTTACTGCAAGCAAGAGCTGACAAACAGGTAGAATATGAGCAAAGGATGAGTGTGGGGTGATGGGGACAATTCTGACAATGTGGCCATCTGCTAGCATGTTTCCTCTTGGGTGTGGTTTGTCACCGGGGAGGAAAACAACCCAGGGATTGTCCCTGCGGTGCCTGCAGCCTGCTGTGCTCCTCTCTCCTCAGTTTGTCACGACTCGTGTGCCAGCTGCTCTGGACCTGCAGCTTCTCACTGTACAGCCTGCACCCAGCCCCATGTTCTCCATCAAGGTCATTGCCTGCCAAGCTGTGGAGAGGGCTTCTATCCCGACCGCGGGGTCTGTGAAGGTACAGTTGCTATCACTGTTAATCCTCCCGCCCAGTCACAAGAACACAGGTTGACTCCCCACTCCCAAATACTGCCTTCCAGTACAACCTTCCCTCTCGTGTATGTTTTTGGTTTTTCGAGACAGGCTTTCTCTGTAGCTTTTGTGCCTGTCCTGGAACTAGCTCTTGTAGACCAGACTGGCCTCGAACTCACAAAGACCCGCCTGCTTCTGCTTCCCGAGTGCTGGGATTAAAGGCGTGCACCATAAACAGCTACGAACACATCAGAGCCTGTGCCATTTCTCTCTGTTGTCTTTTGGTCCCACAGTCCAAAATTCAACCGCTTGCTGATCAAAAATATAAAGTAGAAATTTCAGAAATCTTCCCAAAGCAAAGTTTTAACCCACTCCATGTACATGATATGTGTGGATGGCATGTTAAGTATGGCATGTTAAGTACTTACTGAATCTGAGATCATATATATGGATAGTTGTAGGCTATATGCAAATGCCAGGCCAATTTATAAAGGAGATTTTGATACCTGTAGAAATCCCAGGATCCAGTCCTCTGGAGGACATGGGGCTAACCTGCATATGCTGTTTTCTTTCTTTTTATCTTAATAGTTTTATAAAGAGATGATAATCTGAAACACAAACACACATACACCAAGCCCATTCAAAAGTTCGTGCGGTTTTTTGGCCATCCTTGCAGGGCATGTTATTTCTGTTGGCAGGCATTGATTTTTTTTTTTTACTCCCCCTTTCTGTGCTTTCCTGGTATTGCTAATGTTTATAGACTCCATTTGCTTTTCCCCCAAGAATTTTTCGCTAATGATAGTGCGAGCCAACTGAGATTCACTAGCGGTGCCTCTGGCTGAGCAAAATAGAAAATCTTAAATTGCTGTACGCCAAAAGGCTCTGGGCTCCTGGGGAGAGCGGCAGCATTTGAGCCGTGTGAACATCGAACATTGTGGGTGAGCCTTTAATTAAAAAATCTGTATTTGTTTGCACCTTAGAAAAGTGAAAATAGCAGAAGGAAAAATTATACCGAACTTCATTAAGTAAGTGTTTGGAAGAAAGCACTTAGAGAATCTTTTAAAGGAACAGTGAGTAAATTATATCAATACTTGGGCACGACAAAGTTTGCATACAGTATTGCCTTTGATTTTAAAGACTCCCGGCTTTGATTTTTAAGACTCTCCAGGGAAAACAAAGCCCTGTTACAGACTGGGAAGTTTCGCTCGTGCTCAAGGGGGCCCTTCCTTGCTTAGGAAGTCAGCTTCCTCCCCAGTAAATCCCAAGAAGACTCTGTTGCCTGGGCCTCTCCATAGTGCATGATGGATGAGCGTAACGGTCAGTCACATAGCGACCAGTTCTGCAAGGGGCAGAGTAACGGCCTCCGTACAAACGCGTCTGAAAATCTTCAATAAAAACCGAGGGCATGATGTTAAATGGTCGTTCCGTGAATGTGCTTCTCTGGAGAGCCAAGCAAATATTGTCCAGTTTGCTGGTTTTATTGTCATCCTCCTGACAGCCCTTCTAGGAGCTGAGGGATGAGACTCATTTTCCCCTCCACGTTCCCTCTCGCGAGCAGTCTCCCCAGCTCTGTGCTTCCTGTGGAACCTAGAAGAATCCTCTTCTGCAAGGATCTACCTCCTGAACTTTCTAAGTGCTTTGGACCTCGGGAGGGACCAACAGTGATTGAAAGCCATACTTGGTCTTTAAGTTGCTTTCTGCCTGTTTTTCCAATTTGCAGCCTGCCATGCCTCCTGCCACACTTGTGTGGGCCCCGAGCCCTCTCACTGTATGGAGTGTAAGAAGCCAGAGGCAGGACTACGGGTGGAGCATTACTCCGGGGCAAATGTCCCTTATGGCGAGTGTGTGCCCCAGTGTGGAACCCACTTTTACTTGGAGAGCAATGGACGGTGTGAAGGTAAGCTTAGTTGACAGACATAAGGGGTAGATGGCTTACCATTTAAAGATTCTACGAGGTGGAACTGCAGCCAGGGAGATCTTGGACTTCCTGTGAACAGGCTTCTAGATGTTTGTGGAAATCAGGAGGCCAGCATGTAAGAGTGACCGCACTGATTTCCTCTGCCCTGTGATCGTGGATGATCTTCAAGAGCCCTAAGTCCCGTTCTCAGAAGACCCTGCAGGAAATTCCTTCAGAGCCCTGTGTAGCTAGCTAAGGAAGACTCCGCTCTCATTTATTAGTGTTTTTGATTTTTCTAATTGGAACTCAAATCGGAATTTTTCTCTTTAGGGCAAAATTCAAATGGTAGTTGAGATTTTGAGGTTGTTCATGTTGCTACATTGTTATATTATCCCCAGAGTGTTGATGGCATCCTAAATGCCAGCTCAGTAGCGAGGTCACCAGTGAGAGAGTCAGACAGTGAAAGGCATGGCTTCCAGAGGTTGGGGGGTGGGGAGGCTTCCTTTGCAATACTGCAAGAAGCTGCTGTGTCTGTATAGGAATTCCTTGCTTTACGTGACTGAAAATAATAATCCACACCATCTTGTAGTCAGTCTTGTAAAGGATGCTTCGGTGTCAGGAAGAATAGAAATGTGGCTTCCTTCTGCCCTAAACACCACAGCTTTTAGCATTTTGCTGTGGTACCCTGAATCTCTTGTTCTTTTGTCGGCTTTAAGGGTTTCATTGTCACTGTAAGCACGCTGCAGAGTTGACCTTGTTCTCACTAACTTACATTGGTTTCAGCTTCAGATTTGAATGGATGCTCAAAGAAAATCATGGATTGAAAGCTAGGGCGAATATTTCAGACACTGCACAGCACAGTCAGAAGTTTGTGGATTTAGATGCCAGATACCCAGACCCTTGATCTCTCTGAGCTCTGCGCTCACAGCGTTAGAATTTTAATTGTCTTCCACAAAGGCAGCATGCCAGGTTGGAAGAAATTCGGGAATGTATAGTTCCTGGAGAATTTGAAATCCAATTGCTGAATTGTCCATGTACTCGGGTGTTCAAGTCCATTACAGGGGTGAGCCCTTACTTCCAGGAAGATGCAGAGTTTAGGGGTTTACATGGGGCCCAGAAACTTCATCATTCTTCAGAAGTCCTGATGTCTATCCAGGGTGTGTGTGTGTGTGTGTGTGTGTATTACATGCATTGCCCAAGCTCTGTGTTCTCCAAAATCTATTGCTCCATTTCCATAACCACTTGTGGAATACAGGAATTATTGCTGATACAGTGAGTCCTGATGCCATCCCAGGGCATATGCATCACAGCCTTCTTCATGTGACTTGGTTCCTTCTAGGTACTATGATGGAGAGTGATGTGGCCACTTTACTAGGGACCAACTGACCTTAGGGTTGGGGTGAAGGAACACTCTGCTCTCGTGTTCGGTGATTTTAGGTTCACCCAATGAACTTCTACTGAGCAGCACTATTCCTCAGGATATCTGAACAAGCATCTACTCTCCCCAGATTAGAAACTGAAGATAAAACCAAAGGAAAGACACCACCAAAGTCCTGCTTGTTGAACCAGTGCATTGTATTTAGGTTACTTGCAGGTGTATGGGTGAAGGGCTAGGGATTACTCAAAGGCAGCTGCATCACCAAAAGCACCCCCACCCCTCTCCTAGCATGGGTGATGACCAGAACCCTAGAGTTCATTGCAGTACTTGTAGGCAACTTCACAAGTTGGAGAGACTGCCTTTCTTAGACAGCTCGATAGTCTCTGCTTCGTCCATGCAGCTCAGATGGCTTGCTCCTTCCCAGGCAACGCAGGTGGTCTCAGACTACCTGTCAGCAGTTCTTACTGCTTCCAGAAGTTTAGGGGGGGGGGCTAATGCGTCTGGTCAATTTCAGGAACTTCCTGAAGCTTCTGAGTGTTTGCTTTCTGAGGTTGCAAGGAGCCTCCCTTTAGAACAGTGGTTCTTAATGCTCCTCACTAATGTGGCCCTTTAGCTCAGTTTCTCATGCTGTGATGACCCTCCACCACAAAATTATTCATTGCTACTTCATAACTGTATTCTTGCTACTGCTATGAATCATAATGTAAACATTGGTGTTTCCCAATGGTCTTAGGTGATCCCTGTGAAAGGGTTGTTCAACCCCCAAAGGCGTGGAGGCCCACAGGTTGAGAACCACTTCTTTGGAACAATGTGAGTTCCAATGGACTTCCCTGGTGAATGTTTTCTCCCTTTATGACATCCTGAGCATTACCTAGCTGCCATTTAAGATAGAACTTATCAAATCAGAGGAAAATGCTTTGCAAAAGCTTCCTTATGGGTCTTGTTTTTTTTTTTTTTTTTTTTTTTTGCAAACTCCCAGCACCCTAAGAAACACTAAGTATAATGCATAGCCTTTCTTGATGGGAAAGTACAGAAAGAAAACAGAAGGAAACAGTAGAAAGAGAAAAACCATATCTTTCTTCTTCCGGCTTCTCCCTTCTCCTTCCCCTCTTCTCCTTCTCTTTCTCTCCCTCCCCCCCCCCATCTTTACAGAAAGGTTTTTTTGTTGTGTTGGGATCTGAGAGACTGGTCTGTGTGGTTCCACATGTCCAGCTGGGGACCCTGTGTGCTGAGATCTGCGTGGATAAAGAACAGACCTCCGTGAACACAGGTCTCTCTCCATGCAGATGCTGTGAGAGGCTCTTGGCTTTCCTGGAGGTTGTGTAGATGCTGGACAGACCCAGTTCACCCTGCCAAGAGACTGTGATTGTTTTCCCATGGGTCCCATGATCCCAGGAGAAACTAGGATTGGAAGAAAAGCCTGGTCTGTGCACAATTATCACCTCATAGTTTGGAGCATTATTATTGAAAATAAAATGCAGAATTTGGAGTGAGTTCAAAAGATGAAGCAAAATGATCAACATTTTTGAGAATTAGAATTTTAAGCAAACAAAAAATTATGTTTAGTGCTGTTATTTGGCTGGGAAAGCAATAATTGGCACCGTGAGAAATTGCTTTTCTTGATCGTCCTAACACCAGCGTTTGGGGGCAGGTGAGAGAGCTGCGTGCTAGAAGAAACCAAGGCTTAGGGAAGTTCCAGGTTGTGACTTACCCCAGATTACACTGGCTGCCTGGAGTGTGGGTGGGTGGAACCTGAGTCAGGGGACTCCAGTGTCTGTACTTGTAATTCCTGGGCCGCATATTTTATTTGATGTGCACAACTTCTGTCTTCCCTTTCTGCACAGCACAAGGGTAGCATAGCACACTGATGCAGGGGTTGGAGATTCTTCCATTTGAAAGGGCATCCTTGGCAAAGAAAAGTGTCCCAGGACCCCTGTTATATACGCATCTTTTAGAAAAGATTAGACTCCAATCCCTCTGGGATGGCTTAATTGTGGTCAGATATAGAAAGACTGCCGTGACCTCTTGAGTCCCTGGTAGCCCATGATTGCATGCTCGTTAACGTAATAAGATTAGGTATCCCGCACACGCTGTCTGCTCACATTATGAGCAAATCCCTGTGCAGTCTCCACCAGGTAGGCTGCTGTGCTCAATTTGTACGTGACAAGAATGTGGCAGAAAGAGGTTAATTGAGTTGCCCAGGATTCCGCGGGGAAACCGAGCGCGACTACCCATTGTTTCCAGCCTTACCTGGGTACCAAGCAAGCTGACAGATGTGTGTCCTGTCACTCATCCTGCTTCTTTGCAAACCTTCCCACAATCTATTCCGTTTTCATTGTTGCCGAAGTGGTGTCTATAAAATCCAGCCCGGGAGTTCTGTGAGGTCGGATGGGTCTCCACTTCCCACAGCTTCTCAGGGAGGGCACCTTCTCTCACGAGTGCTTTTCTATAAAGAAGAGAAAAACAACTCATTTCTGGAACTCTCTCTCTCTTTCCTTTCTGGGAGACTGCAGTGTGGGGGATTGGTAAATGAAAGAGAGGAGCATTACACAAAGAAGCTTCTGATGTGTTGGGAGTTAGAGTAGATGATTGTGTATGTGTGAATTAACAAACACTGAACAAAGCAAACCCGGCTTCTCAGGAACACTCTTTCCTTATTTATTCCTTGCAAGAGTGTTGACTGAGTGTCTGTCCCCTTTGGGTGCCATACAATTCTAAACTCAAGAGATGTCCATGCCAATGAGTCAAGTCAAACTTCTTGTTTTGTGCAAAGCTTTCTCCTGAGAGAAACAAAGAGTGAATGAATGAATGAGTGAATGGGAGTAGTAACTAATTCTGTTATATAATTTTGGATGGTTATCCATGCTATCAGGTTCAGGGCAATATGGCAAGGACGCGGTTGAGCAGCAGCGGAAGGTTCTGAAGAGGTGGAATTAACTGTCTCTGTGTGCTTGCCCTGCACTTTTGGCTCATGCTCAACAGATGATGGACTGGTCAGAAGAGAGAACTTTCAATTGTGCTTTTTCTTCCATAGTCTCTGTGCTTCTCAGTGTAGATAGAAAGGCTGCTAAGAAAGAGAATCTGTTGATGTGATCTGTGTGCTATGATTACCATTGATTAATTAAAAAAACACTTTGGGCCTATAGCAGGGCAGAACAGAGCTAGGCAGAAGGAAAACTAAAGTGAATTCTGGTAGAAAGAGGGTGGAGTCAGGAGATGCCATGTAGCCACCAGAGGGGAAAGACGTGAGCTTCCAACAGGAACCTTGCTGGTAGGCCACGAGTCTCATAGTAAAATATAAAATAATGGAAATGGGTTAATTCTATATGTAAGAGCTAGGTAGCAATACGCTTAAGTTATTGGCCAAACAGTATTGCAATTAATATAGTTTCTGTGTGGTTATTTCGGGAGTCTGGGTGGCCAGGAAAGGAACAAGCGGCCTCTAACAACAGTCTGTTACTAATGGTGAAAGATGTTTTGGAAGCATTTGTAGTGTTCAACCAAAATTGTGCATTTGAACTAAATAGCACCATTTAGGATTAGTGAAAAGAAGGGTCCAGAGTTATTGCACATGTTCAACTAAGTGTCTGCCAGTACTGCCAGATTGAAGTTTTTTAAGAAA